TTATGTCGATAAACGGTCTTATCCCAACCAATCTGGAACAACATCTCAGACGGCTCACTCCCGGGAAAGATGCAGAAAGCAGTGCTCTTAGATTCTGCCCGCATTGTACGCCGGTTTCTCTCCCTGGGGCCCTGAACCCCGGCCGACTGTGCTTCTGCCGGGGGTTAGTTTGCCATCTCGTCTCCTAAGAGGGGAGATGTAAATTTTCTAGAAATTTAAAAAATAATAATAATAGGAGACAGGCGTGGCAGATAGTATGTATTGGAAATTTAGTACAATCAGGTGCATATATTTTCTATCAATACATGTAGTACCAAATTAACATTCTTTTATTTTGTGGCAATAAACTGTCTATCTTTTAACATATATTCTATCCAAATTTCCGAACCAATGTGCCTTTTCATTTTTACAGATGCGTGGTAATAATTTAAATCTAACAAAAGAACACATAAAATATTCCGGGAATTGCGAATCTGAAATTGTGAATCACCATTACTGAAAACTGACGTTTTACGTAATAAATTACTACGAAATATGAATATACATACTAATAATTCGAATACGAACGTTGTTTCAAGGGACTAAACAGAGTCCGTTTTCAACCGACTTAAAACAGAAGAGCGTTCAAAAGAGAATGTGGTAAGAAAGGTATTGCGTACGAACGTGAATGTGTTACAAGCGCAGAGGAAGATCCAAAAAGAGATGAATGGGCTGTGTGAAAGATGACATGGGCAGAAAGGGTGTAAATAATGAGATGACTGCAAACAGAGACGAATGCAAGAAGAAAACATTACGCTGACCCCAAACAGATATGGGAAAAAGGGTAGTAAGAAAAGTTACCTCATAACTCCGTCAGTTATAAACTGATTTGGAAGATTTTTTTTCTGAAAGGATATACTCACAGGTTGGTCACATAGCCATATATTTACCAAAATAAGTTGTTTCGTTTTCCAATCAAAAGCACTGGTTTCGCCACAATTGAAATTGAGGCGAAACAATTCGGTTTCGGGCTTTTTACTGTGTGAGCCGTAATAGAGAAAAAAGCACGAAATGTCATCGTGGCAAATCTAGTTACTTTAATTTAAAAATTACTGAATTGTTTTTGATAAAATCTCTATAGAATCAATCGAAAAGTACATACTTTCAGATAAAAAAATTTAAATGACGGAGTTTTGAGGCAATAAACATAAAAAATAGACTCGATTTAAATACTTCGTCCTTTTTTAAATTCGGTAGAAAACACATGAATGGACTAATTCACAAATAAATATATCCTGTTATAAGAAGCCAGACAATAAATATCTGAAGGGACAATCCAGAACACCCAGATCCGAAACAATTACGAAAAACTTCGACGGAGAAACCAACCCTATTTCTTAACTGCGTGACTACAACTACCCTAAGAAGGTCACCAATCATATAATCGTTATCTCAGAAATAATTGTGATAAAACCATTTAATATGCTATTTTCAAGCGACTTCCAAAAGGAAGTGCTCAATTTGTTTGATTTTTTTTTTGTATGCGATCACGTCGGCAATTCTAATACATTTTGACAATTCTTTTTTGAATGAATAGGGTTGAGAACTCACGTGTTGGTCCCATATTAAATTTATGAAGGTTTTATTTGCCGTGTTTGGAGCAAAAACCTGCTTGTTGCGAAGGAAAAGTCTACCGTACATAAATATTTTCAATGTAAGGCATGTATTTATGACACATTTAATCATTAACAGGTTATTTGCGATTAAAATACCTTTTTGTAAAGCAAATTGTACTTATTTGAAAAAAATATTCTGTTTATCATTGTTAGGATAATATAATTAATAATAAAATAATTAATAACAAACAATAATAATAAAAACAAACTTACACAAATCACAAGCACATTACCCCTAACTCACATCACACTTTCACTTACACCTCACGCACTTTTCACTTCACTCGACACTCGTATGATTAGGAATCGATCATCGAAATAATTCGTAATAACTCGATCACGAGACGCCGGCGTCGATCGCAACGCGACGGAGCGACTGACCGCCTAATTTTCTTCGCGCCTCGCACCACGCATTCCGCCCATATGGCACGCTGATAGATATCATAAATTAAAAATTATTATTTAATAACATAACATTAATTATCTTCATTATATTTGCTACGATAATCTTGGTTAATAGTAAGAGATGTTTTATAAGGGTGGTGGTTGTTGAATAAATCTCCAATCCGTTTTTTAAATTAATAAATAACAAAAAGAACTAATCTTATTATTGTACTTATATAATCATTGAAAGAATATGTACTATTCCACAATTTTATTTTAATACTAGCGACCCGGCCCTGCTTTACACGAGTAAAAGATAGAGTATTCGAAAATAATATATAGCCTGTATTACTCGCCGAAATTACAGACTAGTTTAACTCGCGTATATTGATTGACTGAAATAAAATAATATGCCCTTTTTCTTCCTAAATACTATATGTATGCCAAATGGTTAAGGTGCCTAGAAGTAGCAAGCAACCTCAATTTCACATTTATAATATTTAATTATAAACCTTACTGGTTTATATTTAAATGTAAAATTATGAACTAATAAAACTAGTAGTATAAAGTCAATACTAAAGTTATTAATAATAATTCAAAATAAAAAAAAAAAAACATTACAAAAAAGTCGTAATTTTCTACTATTGTTATGAATTTTCAAGTGTTGCCACAAACAGCCATGTGAGATGCGACACGACTGTCGAGTTCTCACGGTCTGCTTTTTTACTTTTTCTTTATTGTAGTGTTTCCTTTGCCACTTTGATCGTCATATAAACAGCTTGATTAAGGTCGTAGATACGAGTACACTTTATACTTCATCAAATAATCCCACTATTAACATGTAATATGATATTCTACTATAATGTGTTTCAATTAAACTTAATATAACTTACTATGTTGTTGTAACAAGCCGGAAATAGCAGTTGTCAAGGATTTGTGGCAGAAGACATTCTGCACCGACCCCAAATAAATGAGAAAAGGCTAAGCAATGATACACCAGACTTCAATCAAATATTTCAGGTTCAGTAGAACCTATTTTGATAAAATTTCTATGGGACCAATTTGAAGGTACATTCTTTCAGATAAAAAAGAATTTTCCAAATCGGTCTATAAATGACGGACTTCTGAGGTAATAAACCTAATTTAAAATTATCTTTGTTACCTCAATTTATTTACAATGTTATTAAATTTTATTAGAACAGACTATTATAAAGGGGAAAATTTATAAGAATCTATGTTACATTTTTACGCAACAAATATAAATGTATTTTAGTAAACTAAAAGGCTATATCCTAGATTAGAACAAAGCCTAAATACTGATACATGCGGACGAAAACGCGGAATACAGCTAGTTAAATAATACTGTTATAATGTGGCACGGTCCAAGTGACATTCGTGACAAAATTAATAAGCGATCACACGTGATATAGCGTGACACGTCGTAGGTTCGCAGACGTGATGAAATCCGTGTCCTTTAATTTACAACTGAAGGTGTGTAATGATTATATGAATGCAAACCTTTAGTAATTAGAGTGATAATTAACGCGTTTTATTTAATTAAATATAATGGTAGTAAATTTGTAAATAGATAAATAAAATATGAGAGGCGTGTAGCAAAATTGCGCCAAATTTGTTTGAGATTTGAAGAGAGGCGCTCTTCTTTATAGATTATCTATTATTGATACGAATACTTAGAATTTTCGAATATAATAAATAGCTTATGTTAACTACTAGTAATATAACATTCTGTAGATGAAAGATTTTTTTTAAATTGGTTAAGTATTTTTGATTTGTTTGTAACGGATAACTATTACAATTTTTGCATTTATTATAACATATTAAAAGGACGTTCTTATATTTCGCATCTTAATGTTAAGTGAAATGTAAAAAAAATCATTTATTATGTTTTATACTTGCTTATATACTTTCTTATGGGTGGGTGATTCGTCTAAAAATAAATACATCTTATTCAATACACGAATGAGTCCAAACGAAAATAAAAAGAAAAATGTAATTTATGTTGACACCGAACTGTTGGTGACGCAACACAACGGAGCGTTAATCCTTAGAGTCAACTAATTGACTGTAATTACAAATATTTTCTCACATCCAATTGAAATTCATTAATTCAGTAACAAAGGAACAACAGTTATAAATAGTAGAGACACATCAGAGAAGAGCAACGAAGTTATAATATATATTGGGGAAGCATAAAGTTTTGGGGATTAGCAGCAATACCTGTCCTCCCAGGTTGCTTCAAGAGACGCCCTCTTGAAACCAATTCAACTTACTTCAGCTCTACTTATCATCCGTCACTAGTGCTATCCCGTCAACGGAAACCAATTACGCAGGCAAGGTTATTTTCATTTTACAGTAAATGTGCCTTGTGGCTTCGCCCGCGTGATTCAGTATATAAAGTATCTTACGTATTAAGATAAGAATATAAAACAGTGTACCAAATATTCGATTCAATTCAGTCGTTTAAGAATGACTGAACAAGCAAAATATCATACTATACTATGCCATCTCAGACATTAACTGTCCACTGCTGAACATAGGCCTCTCCTTATTTGGATTGCCAATAGTTGTCAAGCTTTGGTGACGATTCAAGAGGGTCCATCCCTCGACCATTAAAGTTCCCTTAGTCGTTTCTTACGACACCCGCGGGAAAGGAAAGGGGAGCCGATTGTATGGCGGGACCACACGGCAAAAAGAAACATACAAACATCTAAACGTTTTTTTGGTTTTAAAGGCCATGGATGGCCTTTACAACTTCTAGGAGCGCGTGCAGGTGCAGAATTCAAATATTTTTCAAAACTATTACATCTATAATAATAACAGGATTTGTAATTGGAATGGTATTAGACTACTGAAATGAGGTAAATGAGGTAAAATGTTATCGAAAAGGTTATACATATTTTAACGCAAATATAGGCATATAAGTACAAGTAGTAAACTTACCGAAACTTTACTGTATTCATGATGATGCGTCATGTGCAGAGGTGCGCAGCTGGATGCAGCGCTGGAAACGCTCAATGCATCTCCCTCGCTCGTGCCCTCAGTCTCGTCCCACCGCCGCCGCCCCGACCCGCTGCGAACAGCCCCGACCACCCCGGAATCCCGCTCAAGCGAAGCAGTACCAAGCGACACATCTGAGGCCCTCGGAATATCGTCCTCCTCACACTCCGATGAAGAAGTCTCAGAACTCCTTACACTTATTCCACTCTCGAATTTAGAAGAGCCTGAATCATTGGTTTCTTCAGTTATCGTATCTATACCACAACTAGATTGTTTCTTACTATCAAATCGAAAGGAATCGCTATGTATCCAAGGTTTTCTAGTAATAGTTCCATTAACTTCAGATGTAACTGTTTCTGCGTCCGAGACTTCTTCGTCAGTGTGCAAGGTATCATCTGAATCTTCAGACGAATCCTCAAAACATGTAACAAAACTTGCATCAGATTGAATGGTAACATTGGATTCACATGACTGCAATGACCACTGCTCAGAGTATTCCGAGGAACCTGATTTACGTATAGTACAATCAGAAGCACAAGGATTAGCGGGGGTCGATGTTGAAGTATCACTTAGTGAGATTACTTCTGCTATATCTTTTACTGAGTAAAGACCGTTAGAAGAAGATGATGACAAAGTTGTGTGTTGTGACATAGAAACATAAGCAGAATTGTTATCATTTTTATCCTCCACCGTATTATTTCTTGAAACAATGTTAGTTATATCGACAACAGCATAAGGTTCTTCGAGATTTGATGAAACAGATTTATTTTTTAGTAAACCACTAGTACTTGATGTTGAAAATTTTGTATCGAGTGTTATGTTTGGAGTAGAAATACTTTTTTTTATGACTGAAAACTTGACTATTAGGTTACCGGATTCACGTTTCTCTGAATGAAATGTGCACGTTTTAGAGTCACAAAAGCATCGAAAGGACGTTAATTTCATTTCCTCTTTATTATTTAAAGCATTCATATCAATGCTCACTTTATCTTTTTCATCACGAGTACATACATCTAACAAATCTTCAGCGCTACTATGATATTTGGGTAGCTTAGGTTTACAGAAACAAATAGCTGTTTCAAAGTAGCTGTCTCTATTATTATTTGTTACTTTAGTGAAAGGAGGTACAGGTTTATAAAGAGTTTCTCTATTAAAAATATAGATAAACTCTGTAACTGTGGGTGCTGTGTATATACAGTGTCCTGTACCACGGATATGATAATGAGCGAGGGTTTCTTTTAAAAATTCGTTATTCCATTTGGGTAAATCTGCTTTATGTGAACTTTTATCTAAATCAATATTAGTGAATGTTTTATGCCTAAAAAGGACATGCTTTTTATCGGAATGATCTGTTTTTTTATTGGGCAGAGTACCTGTCATAGACGTATATATATTTTGCTCTAATTCTTGACTGCAGTCAACATTTTCTATCGCACTTGCTTCTGTCACATCAGAAGAATCAGATGCGTTAGATTTAGTTCTGACCACAGATTTATTAGTATATGAATAAATTTCAGAATTTTTACTATGCCTAAATGACTTTGATTTTTGTGACAGTAAAATATCTTCTAAATTTGATTCATCTATCATAGAATCAGAGGAAATAGTAGACGCTCTGCTTGTGCTTCTTGATCTATTCTCATCTAATTTAGACGACGTAGATATAAAATTGAAAGGACTAGGTTTTTTATCACGCATTAAAGAAACATTTTCATACAGCACATTTTGTTTCAATTCATTTGTGGTTTTTGTGGGTATGTGAATTCTAGCTGCAGGAATAGGTGGTGTTTTCGTATGAAAAACTACAACATTTTCATAAACATTGTTTTGATTAATTTGTTTATTAGTTTCAATATTTGGCCTAGGTAAAGGTTTTGGAATTGAGTTGCTATTTGAATTACTTTTTGAGGCTAATTTAGAAAACTCATAAGACTCATAACACTCATTTACCAAGTTTTCAGATTCCCCAGAAATATTAGATGTCACTGACATTCTAATACTAGTAGTTCTGGGTTCAAATATATGATGAGGATTTGGATTAAAAGCTTCATTTATTTTTGATATTTTTATATTATTATTAACAACGTTGTCAACGACAACAAAGTCGCCATCAGAGTTTTCAGAATCACTGAGTTCATTGTTTTCGCTTATATTTGGTAATGACGTTTTGAAACCTGGACAACTTCGATTACTTTTATTTACAACTGAATCTCGATTTAAGGTGCTTATTCTATCTAATGAAATAGTATCAAATTCATCAGTGCAAACAATTTCACCTGATTCCTCTTTTTTCGATAGTATTTTAAAGAATTTACTGTTCCCTATTAATAATGTATGTGTATTAGTTTTATGTTCTGAAACTTTATTCTTCGCATCGACTTCCGCTTCTAAAGCTTGACTGTTAGAAATGTTAGGAGCTGAATTGAATTTTGCTTTCAGGCCCATGCATTTCGAAGCTAGCTTTTTTACAAAGCTTTGAGAATGATTTTTTGTTAAAGAAGACGAAGATGGAGGTAATAAGCTTTTATTTTTGTTAGTATTTTTCTGGGTCTCTGGGGCTTTCCTGCAAAACACATAAAAAGCAACAAAAATGGAATAAATTATATACGACAATACTTATTTAAATAAGTTTTTGTTAGTAAAAATAATAAGTTAATACCACCACCAAATATTACTATGTAGTTACTACTAAAATCAAAGAATTTTAAATTAAAATAAAAGAAATTAACATTTTTTAACCGGACCAATCAAACATAAGTTGTTTAAATTGATCAAACTTTTTCTTCAAAAACATTGATGGCATTTTTTTTGGTATCTCTTCGACTCCTGGGTTTTTATTTTGTAAAGAAGTTGAAGTACTAGTTTCAAATGGTTTAAAAGTAACATGTGACTCTAATAGAGAATCTTTATACTTAATATTTATCGGATAAGATTTTTCTGTAATATGTAGTTCTGAACCAGACAATGAACTATACAAATTATCTTTATGCACGTCTACATAAATATCCTCACAACTGAAAAATTGAGCAGAATTCTTTTTTATTACATTTTTGGACCCACTTTCACTATATATTTCATGACAGAAACAAGTAGTTGGTTCTGCTTTCTCTTTTTTCTTTGTAAATGGGTGAACGCCATATTTTACGGCCTTTGGATCGAGAGTGTAAATGTACCAATAATCTAAATTTTCATGAACACAGCCCACATCACCTTTAAAGTGTACACTGTTTATTGTTGGCCTTAAAAGATTTGGAATAGATCGTCTTTCTGGACAATGTTTCCGATTATCCATACATACATATACATCAGATAAACGGTCATTTTGTTTAATAATATAACTAACGCGTGATGCAGAAGTATAACCGTAAATATCGGATATTAGTTTTCTTCGACAAAATTTGTTATTACTGTCCATGGGTGTATAGACTGATTTATCGGTGTTATCAACTAATTTAGACAATTTCGCTTTTTCATCGTCAGGCAAATTTTTATTCTGCTCTTTTAATAATTTATTTTCTGTAGCATCTGCATCGACTTCATCAATACCTCTTTTTATATCGTTAATAGTAGTCTCTTTTACGTCGTCCCTGTGTTTTAAACTATCGCTCTTTTGTTTAACCATCCTACTTAATAATTCTTCATTAAGATGTAACATAATATTTGGAACACTCATTTTCGGTTTCGGAGGAAGTACCGGTTTTGGTGCGACGTTCATAGAGACATTCTGATACAATTCATAGTCATCATGCCACGAATTGGTATAGATATTTTCGTTATTATTATAATTATTGTTTTGTACGTCATGATTTTCATAAATACAATTGAATTCTTCACTTAAGAATTCTTCAGTTTCTGATCTATCTACCTCCACTATATTTAATGGTTTGAGTACCGACGATGCACTATCAGTTTCATCAGATACTTTACGTTTTTGCAATTCTTCGAGTGTTAATGATGGTGGTAATACGCGTGTAAAAATGCTCGATTTAATTATATTGTTACTAATGTTAGAGTTAGTCAAGATGTTTTCTTGTTTAGCGGAAAGCAAGGACACGTTAGGATCTGGTTTATCACACCTGGAAAATTTTAATGTTCATTTATATTAAATAAAATCAATCAAATTTTTAAAATAATCAGAAATTTTAAAAACTGTTATTAGATAAACTATGGTAAGACTATTTAAATTGAAAACATTAAAAGCAAAGTATTTTGCTCGGCATCAAAAGATGTCGACAGGGGCATCTTTTTCTCGTGTCACGTAAACACCTCGTTTGGTCGTTCGTACAGAATCAAAGCTACGGAAGATTTTAATGAGGGCTGCCATTGAATGTTTTGTTTTGCATCTGTTATTTTTTACAGAATTCTTTATAAAATTTAACACTGGAATTTGTTTGTAAATGTATTATTACCAATCTTTTGTATTCGAAATATTTTTTGGAGAATCCATGACAGTAATATTGAGTATGATTTTTAATATACAATATTCTTAAAACGTGTATACAACTTTTTGTTTCTGAATTATGAAAAAACAATCGTTCATAAATATTTATGACCGTAATGAACCGTGCCATAAAAACTGTAACCCCAAAACAGGAAAAGAGCGTTTCCAAGATAGCAATCAGAGTTCAAAGGTTGAGACACGTACTATGTCGTAATTGAGACGTCGCTCTCCAATTAAAAGCGAATGTTTAGAGCTCCCCTGAAGAGGATCTTTACAGTAATTACAGGGGATTCCTTTATGCGCCCACTTGCCGACGCGGTCGTTTAGATACCACAACTCATGCTGAACTGTGTTTCTATAATTTGGCGAAAAATATTTGTTTTGCATATTTAAAATAACGTTATTAGGTATTAGTGTGTTAAAAAGCCAAAATTAGTAAAAAATAAATAAATAAAGCTCATTATTATGTTATTAATTACAGATTGTGGGATGCGTCTCGTAAGAGTATTGCAATAAAGTGAGAATTTCCATCATGAATAGAAACAATGTTATAAGATAATTGTTCAAAAGGAACTGGCTTACATGAACCTACATTATTGTTATTATACACTTTCACACTAACACTAGATAAATAGGTAAATGTCTTGAGAATCAGTTCCTGTTCATATTTACATTTATTAAATAGCATATTTAAAAATTATGACTGTTAACGTACACATACAATTAAATATATGACAAGAAACCAGTTTCCTTCTATAGTTTTTATACTTATATTTATAAAAAAAAAAAACACTACTTATAAGTATATATATTTTAATATAAATATAATGCTCATAGAGTGTGCGAGGGGGATAAATTGTAATTGTCATATTATGAAATTATTTACAAGAACATAAAATCGGCTTCACTCAATTTTCTTAATCGACTTTAAAAAGAAATTTCACATTTCATATATATATATATATATATATGTATATATATATATATATATATATATATACATATATATACATATATATATACATATATATATACATATATATACATATATATATACATATATATATACATATATACATATATATATACATTGTCAGAAGAAATCATCACCAATAGGTAAGCTTTACATAAAGTTTATTAACGCCATCATGTTAGAACGTAAACAACACCAAATATTTATTAAAAGTACTAACAAAGTGACTTTAAAAATCTATAAATTCCCTCCTTTTACTACAAACCAAAGCAGAGACGCAGTTTCTTTACGTTATATCACAATAGCGTCTCCAACGGAATAAACTGGTAACAAGCTTCCCTGTTTAATCATCAACATTTTTTTAAGGTTTTCAACAAATTTCCATATACTAGAAGTATGACTTCATTTATATTAAGAACTACTAATGCTATCGATTTCTTATTTAGTATCACGTCATTGACAACTTAGAGTCAGTACTTACGCTATATTGCTGGGCTGGTAGCCGGTGGGACTGTAGTCGGGCACAGGAAACGGTGGGAGATCTTCTTCACTTTCGTATGTGTTCCTCTGCATGTTTTCAAACTCTGCAGAAAATTCTTTAATAAATGTAAATTATTAAATTATAAAAATAAACGATTAAAAAAGCACAACATAAAATGTTTATTAAAGAAAGAATCATCAGTATTATTACTTTTCAGTCACCGTTTCCATTCTGAATAATTTTAATTGCAAATAATTCTAATTGTAAACAGTATGAATAGTTATTTACCTCTGATCACCCTACGCACTCGTCTGGTCGCCTCTTCGGAGTAGTCAGCTAAGAGGTCGAGCACGGTTCTTCCTTCGGAGTCCACAGCGTCCAGATCCGCCCCCGTAGACAGGAGCATGCGGACCACTGAGGATTTGCCGAAGCAAGCCGCTTCGTGTAGGGGAGTCCCGTTGTGGGTCCGGATGTTAGGGTCCACACCAGCCGCTATTAACGCCGCCACTACCTCCCTGTTGATTAAGGGAATATTCTATAATAATAATGTTCCAATTGTTTATATCTAGAATAAGTTTACTATTGTAATCTTTTGGAGTAAACAATAAAGAGTATCTATCTATCTACCTATTCCACAATAGTTTGGACTTTCCCCTAAACCGTCATTAAAAAAAGGTTTTATGTTCACTTATGTATACTTATTACTAGTCATTCGTGTACAATATACTAAATTTTATATATAAACTAGCTGACCCCGTAAACGTTGTTTTACCACTTATTGCGAAATATAAAAATCGCGATTAAAATACAGGGGTTGATCGTAAAAGGATGAAAATTTAAAGTTGTATGTATTTTTCAATGCTAAATTATAATAAAATAAAAATTAAAAAAAATTGTCAAAAAAATAAAAAAAAGTATTTTGGGGTGGGTCACCCTTATCATTGAGGGGTATGAAAAATAGATATTGGCCGATTCTCAGACCTACCCAATATGCACACAAAATTTCATAAAAATCGATAAAGCCGTTTAGGAGGAGTTTGGTAACAAACACCGCGACACGAGAATTTTATATATTAGATATATGTATGTACCAAGATCCGTACAGTAAATGATTTGAATTTGAATTAAAAAATAAATAAACCTTGTTCCATATAATGAAAAAAAAAATTAAAATTCTCTTTGTTATTACCATCAAACAGCTATGCTTGCATGGCTACATTTCGGTTGAAGGATGGAACATGGTAATGAAACTACAGTATACGGAGGCACAACAGATACGAGTAGAGAGGAGTCCATTAGGTGGGCCATCAGCTTGTTTGCCATTGTAAATTACACGAAAAAAACGACCCTAATACGAAAACGTATCGTTAGATGAAATATAAAATAGAAGAATTTATGAATTACTAGCTTTTAACCGCGACTTTGTTCGCATGATCAGCACATGTGTACTGACCGGAATAAAAAGTATTCTATATCCTTCTTCACCCTAATTATTCCACTACGAAATCTGTTTTTTTTTTATACAACTTAGAATGGCAAACAAGCTGACGGCCTACCTAATGGAAAGTGGTAACCGTCGCCTATAGACATGAGCAGTACCATGGATATAACAGAGTATACTATTTCACCCATGATACCCCCCATGCGTTGCCATTCCTGAGGACTCAGGTGTTATTCATTTACTACATAGATACCAAAATGTTGTAGTGATCTGTTAAATCGGTAAGGCGTTATAAAGTAACAAATAAACAAACTCACTTTCACATTCATAATATTAGTAGGGATTACAAAAGACGGACTAAAAATAATATCAGAGCAATCCAAATATCAAAGCAATCCTCATTATAAAGCGAAGTTTGTTACTAATTTATTATCACTTACAATACGCGCTTAAAATTCCTATCACTAACAGGAATTAGCAGCGAACTTTAAAAAAAAGGGATGAGCACAAAAGATCATAGAAAAGTCGCAATGTCACAGGTTTTTCTGTTTAAAAAAGCTCGACTCTCAATAATAATAAATACTAAATTATAGATCAGTTTTAGTCTAAATTCTTCTGATGATGGTTTAGCTGTGGTCTAAGATCATAGTACTAAGAAACGTCAAGTCTTCCTTTTTAATAATTAAACGATATATAACAATAATAAATTAACACAATAAATACAAAAGTTTGTAAGGATGGACGGATGTTTGTTACACTTTCACACAAAAATTACTGAACGAATTTGGATAAAATTTGAAACACGTGTTATATCTTAATTTAGCACGTATTATAGTTAACACACTGATTCATGTAGTAAATGCCGCAAAATACAGCTAATATAATAATGTAATAATAATAATTTAGAATCAACCATGCTTGGCTAAGACCTACATGGTTGAACATTTTAACCCATTAAAAAGAGAGGGGATTACATACAATATATATAAAAATAATAATACAATAATGTTGCTTCAAAATACTCATTAATACCATCAGAAAATAAATCGCCACAATCTCGTTATGCGTTTAGGAAAATGTATAAAATCTGGTATTCTAAAATACCTCAATTTGCTAAATATTATAACGACAACGTAACAAGGCATCTGTGCGCGTTATGGGACAAGTCATTGGCGAATAGCGTGGTTATCTCAATTTTTCTTTTTTTTTATAATCATACTAATATAATAACATTGTAAGTGGTTAATGTAAAATATGGGAAATATTGAATACAGAAGATGTTTTTTAAAAAAATATATAAGGTATTTAATTAGAAGCTATAGAAGTCAAAACAATATTTTTTACAAGTTTTGTGTGTCTGTACGGTTTTCATAATTGTATTTGTATAGGTCTAACTTTAAAAATGGTGTAAGTATGTTTTATTCTGATACAACAATTAGAAGTCTATTTCATTACTTCTTTTGTAATCTGCGCATACGAAGTAACGGCAAAAAAGCTAATTAATATATATAAAACTAATATTTTTATACTTACTGTACTTATACAATTGTATCGTTGTGTTTGTTAATTGTCTTGCTTATTTCCTATATTGTATAATGCAAATAAAGTATACTCATTCATTTTTGAAAATTTTATGATTATTTCCTAATAAATGCAATTATTTATTTTTAGGCAATCTTGTAGAAACTAAACACTACTTGTTTCGCAGTTATAGTTAAATCAATTTAATAAAATGACAGATTTCTCAATAACGAATAGAATTTTTTTAAAGGGATAAAGTATAAATTTCGAAATTTGTACAGATTTTTTAAAAGAACTCTATCTACCATACTTTTTGTGTGTGTATGATTTGGATTTTTTGTTTTAGTTTTTATTACAATTAATAGGGTTTACCTCACAGTGTAAGTTTGATATTAATTTCGTTACGAACTAAAAACTTGTAAACTCAGTTTTTTGTGGAACAAATTCTTAAATCAATACAACTAGTTAATTTTAAACTTTCGCGTTGTTGGCACATATTTTAAATATACTATCAGAACCTGACGCGACGCAATTACATGTACTACATACATACGTACGTACATTTCCTACGTTTTGACGCGGATTCCACCACGTCGTGTTTACGGCAGGACAACAAACAACCACGTAGCTTTGTAAAGTAGATTTAAAATTTAAAGTATTAAAAATACCTTTTACTGTGAAGGACAGTTTATACCTATATTATCGCTACATCTCATGAATTACAACAGCAAGTCAACAAGCACAAGGCACCTCACGCCACGCGTTGCCAATTTAACCCTTCAACAATGCACGCGGAAAATTTGTCACATCGCAGTATAAAATATTAGTTCAGATGTGGTAACTGAGAAACATTGTACTTTCGATCAGCACCAAATATCTATGCCGTTAATTGATTTTCCGAATTTCTGTCTTTTAAAAATTTGGTTCGTGACATAAAATTGTTCCAATGCATATATTTATCTAATGATTATATTTTGCTATTCATTCAGTATTGACGTTCTTATTAAGCGCCAAGATTTGTAAGGGGTTTGAGCCTGTATATATATATATATATATATATATATATATATATATATATATATATATATTATTGATCAACTTTTAATGCTATTGCTGACCTATACAATTAATTTTATCAATAATATAATTAATATTATCACTTGCATTAGAAGTGTTATAAATGTGGCAAAATTAACGTTGTCTATTATGAATGAGAAAAAAACAACATACAAATTAAAATGCAAATATACTTATTGGTTTTATAATAGGATTCTAAATATTTTAGGAAACGAACTTTGCTAAATTGTCTTGAGTCTAGATATTCTGAGATGTGCCTCTAGATGTTCCTTAGCTGATTCCTAGTAACACAGGATATTCTAGCTAGAGGTGCAGTCGATCAGTACGATTATATTGTAAGCGCCCCACACATTTTAAAATGTCTAGAAACGTCTACCGAAAGGTTCTGAATCGATTTAATAATACCGCATCCACATTAATTTCCCGTTCGCACATCCCAATCCATGGCAACGTAAATTCGTACGCGCGAAACCTATCGATGCGTTATAACGAACGAATGAATATGAATACGAGGCGATTGCTGCGCGTGTGTACACGCCTTTATATTAGCATAAAATAATAACGACGAGTAAATATCTACACAGGTGTGGGCTGCTCTTATCGCTTGATAATTTAGCATCAAAATACTTGTGAATATGTACGTACATTACAACAACTTATTAATGCCCTACTGCTGGACAAAGATCTCTCCTCAGAAGAACTATCATATCATGTCAGCCGTTAACTGTCCATTGCTGAACATAAGCCTCACCCAGATTTTGCTAATGGTTGCCACGCTTGACAGATGGGTTTGCAAGAAGAAGTATTTTTATTCCTTAATCAAAAAATAATAACAAAAAAAGTATTATATACTAATATGTATATATCTCTAAAGACGTTTATCAGTCGACAGAATAATTAGGTATGACAATGGTTCAGACAAGTATGCCAAAAAAAAGTTTAAATAATAAATACTCGTATTTTACAAAAAAAAAAAGCACTTCATACCACACCAAATATCTGTATATATAAAAATCTAGTGTTTATAGTCACACTCCTCTGAAACGACTTGACCGAATTTTATTAAACTTTTTATATATATTTGATATTGTATAAGAATAGGTCGTACAGTTATAGGTGATTACTGTGTCCATAATTAGAAAAAAATCATTTTTGTGGCAGAACAATGTATGGCAGGTCAGCTAGTATTACAATAATTATAAGCAGGCGATACAATTTGATTTTTAAACAAATCACTTCAATATTAACAAACATGTTGCGTAACATGCACAAGACAATCAGCATCATCATCATCTTCCTACCCTTATCCCAATCATTTGGGGTCGGCGTAATATAATTTTATCCATATTAGAAAAAGATTTGGTTTTTTAGTTTTAAGACCGGCCACCTGCCTGACGTCAACCCTCTTTGGGAATGCATTTGTTGGTGGTTTTCGCATCAGCATCATCATCATCATCACATCAGTCATTAACTGTTAACTCCTCCTCGGGCCTCTCCTTAGGACCTCCCCCTATTACGAGGTAAAACAAAGGTACACGAAACAATAAATGAAAATAATTACATTATTTTTTACACCAGAAGAACATTTTGTACAAAAGTCGTTTACCATGTTTCTGCCGTGACGCAGCTATATATCTGTGTTTCGGTTTGAAAAGTGGGATATGGCAATGAAATTACAGGGTATGGAGGTGTTATACCTCCATACCCTGTAATTTCATTGCCCATTCATTCATCTAAGCCCTCAGGAATGGCGACGCATCAAAGATACCATGGACATAAGAGTGTATTCTATAGCGCCCATGATGGTGCTCATGTCTATAGGTGACGGCGACCACTTTCCATCAGGTGGGCCGTCAACTCGTTTGCCATTCTAAGTATCACAAAAAAAAATACAGTCGTTATAAGCTGATAATAAATAAAGAACTTACTTGCGCCCGTTCTTACTGGCTCTGTGTAATGGGGTCGATGGGAAGACCCAAGACCTGCTCTGGGGCAATTTGTAGGGCTCCACCAGCTGGGGTCTGACTCGAAGTAAGTGTTGGACAGTCTCCAACCTGGTAATAAACAAGATGATGTTTATACTATTATTATATTATTTTATTGTATTTTATACTACTAATATTGCACTATATTGCATTGTTTTTAATTGTGGACATAAGCCAGTGTGCCATCATATTTTTTTCTACAATTTTTTTAAGTTATTGTTGTTGTATCAGCCGTTAATTCTCCACTATTGAACATAGCCTCACCCATAAGGGAAGGGTTTTGCGAGTAGTTGCTACGCTTGGCAGACAAGTTAGCAACCGCAGTTTAGCTTTTGGTGATGTTTTAAAGGGGACGCTGTTCTCCAGCCCTCCACCATAAGCTCCCCTTAGTCGCTTATTACGATACCCATTTTTTTCTTTTTTATATGAAAGACGGTAAATGAGCATGCGGTTTACGTGATAATAAAAAGATTGATATAGCTGCTTTTTTTAAACGACTGACACAAGTGAAAAAGAAGGTTCGCCTTTTTCAGGCGTAAAATGTACTTGGTGCGTATACTAAATAAATATTGTCCAATCAAACAAGGACCTTACCCTTAGCAAATTATTAACTGAAGAATATTAAGAAAACCACACTCGAAACATTTCCATGACAACGTTATAAGATGTAACACTTACGAACGGCATTGAAAATAAACTGACATAGCAGACACAGTATACAAAAATACATTAATTTCACCACTAAAACCAGCACATGAATGTATAAATAATTGTTTTATTTCTTATCTATGCCGTGTCAAGATTAGATAGCAATAACATGACGCAGCGACAGACATAACTTACTATAATTTCAGTACATGTAGATATAAGTGACTAGCTCTATCCCGCGACTTCATATGTGGTCGTATCGTGATGTTGAATTTGAATTGAAGGAATTGCAGGTGTGCTGCTGACTTTTAAAAAAAGGAATATGCTTCTTTAAGGTTACGATGTCGTATCGATTCTAAATACCTACTGTTAAATTGTTAACAAAATTTTTATATGTGTTTAAATTATATAGAAGTAAAGTAAATATACTGTTGCCGTGTGGTCCCGGCATAGAATGAGCCACAACTTCCTTTCCTATGGCTATCGTAAGAGACGGTTAAAGGAGCCCCGGGAGGATGGACAACAGCGCCCCTTTAGGAGCAGTACCAAAAGGTATTTGCAATTTTCAACTTGCCTGCTCTCGCAAGCGTATCGACTATTGGCAAAACCCCTTATGAGGGAGGATTATATTCACCAACGAACAAATTAACGGCTGATATGATTATGATGGAAAATATAAGTCATAGTGCCGTTTTCCTATAATCGTGCCGCGTAAAGTCCGAAAATAAAATATGTGTAAAAAAAAACGAAAGTATGAAGAGCCTTTATAAAATAGTGGGGAGAGTTACTTCTCTTGATCTGATTTATTATAGTAATTCAAATGAATATTTTTTTTTTAATATGACGTCACCGCAAGAGGAGCGTTATCTTTTCCAGCCAGCTCTGTTGATTCATAAAGTATAACAAGCTCATTAATTTTATAGATATTTTATAACAACGGTTTCACACGACTGGAAAGCTGGTTAGCGTTAATGTTGATTAGTATGTACTAGTACATTATCATACAAAAGATGTAAAAACATCAATAATTATTATGTATATGTTTATAAATATATCGATTATAAACTGAATGCAAATCTAAGACATAATTATTTTTAATTTAAACATTAATGCATAATTATATAAGTAAATTTGGCGGACTTAGCACTTAACTTCGATCTCCCTTTATGGTTGACTGGTAGTCAACCATAGACAAATAATTAAGTAGACGATTCATTTACTATTTTTCTATTATAATTTATTGAAGGTATCATTCCATTTTTTTAATGTAGACAGAAAAAGAAGGTTGTATGAAAGATATCGTCAAAAAGTAAGTGAATTCGAGAAAACGATAATATGTAATGATGAGGGGTCTCCTTAAAATATTTCATCATCATCATCATCATATCGGTCATTAACTATCCACTGCTGAATAACTGGCCTCCCCATAAAGGAATATTTTAGTAGTCGCCACGCTTGGCAGGCGGATTGGCAGTCGCAATTAGGTATTGATGATGTCTTCAGAGGGACGTTGCTGCCCATCCCTCAAACAGTAATTTCCCTTAGAAGCCCCCGAGAATGGAAAGGGTGGCCCTTTTTATACCGGGACCATTTTACGTGAATACGTAAAATAATTTCCGAGAGACGATCTATCAACATGTGAAATCGAAACTATTTAGCTCTTTACATGTGACTCTGAGCAACAAACTTTCACAAAACGAGCACATTCATTAACTTTGCAAGATTTAGTGTAGTTATAGATTATAATTAGTTTATAAGCCAAAATATAAAGACAAAATTTCATATTAACAGTATGTCAAACTTTGTGGTGTAACCGGAATTTCTTGGATTCTAAAGGGGCATTCCACATTCGCCACAACCGGATCTTTTTGGAAGACAAATATGTCAAACTTTATGAACAGAACTTTGAAATCGCTCACCGACACCATGAAAGAGGTATAAAATATACTCGTAGTCTGAAATCACTGAATTGAATCAAACTTTTATATTTTAACAAATTTTATTATTATATTTATTTGAACAAAAAGAGGACCGAAAATAAATATACCGAAACTATTACATACTGGCTTTTTGCTTGCTACTTTGTACGTGTGGATTTCAGAAGTAGGTAAACCAATGAAACAAGTCACTTCTAGATGGCGTATCAAGATAATAGGTAGACATACACCACATTTTAAATTAGACCATCAAGAGCACATTTGTAAAAACCAATTTGGTGCAGCAGTTTTTACATAATGGCGGGAGAAACATACAAGACTTATAAAGATACAAAATTTCTCAATATATATATATATATATATATATATATATATATATATATATATATATATATATATATATATATATATACCATATATATCCATCGCTATCAATCGCAGTACACGAATTATGAATAAACTATCTTTTATTCATATGTTAACTATCAATAGGTAATGTTGTGACACGAAAATCAATTACTTGTTCAATCAATCAAACCAGATTGCGAATAATTAATATTGTTTATAAACAATTATATTCATAAATCAATATTGATTGTTATCATAATTAATTTGACAGAAAAAAAAATTATTGAAAGAAAAAACTATTTTTTTAATAACGACTATCATGAGTCATACTGCATTTTAATAATTTATCTGCTTCATTAGCCTTCGGGGTTGCCCGTCTTGTTGCGGACTGGATAAGAGCATATAAATTAATTTTGATTAATTTATTAAAAAGTAAATATAGACAGAATGTCCAAACGGCATAATTATCTGTACAATAATATGTAAGACTCACTTTGTCCGCGTGTAAACGCTAGTCTCATATAGAATTATATAGGTAAAATAAGATTATGTACGAATGAATATTATATTACGAAACTTTACATAAACCATTTAATTTTGTGGGTAAAACTAGAAACCTATGTGTGCATGTACCTGACCCACGGAAGTTGCAAACTTTGAGAACACTTGACGAATAAAGTCGTAGAGTTGAACGGCTTATAGCGTAACTTATGATTTAGAAAGGCGGGATGAACAACTTTGGCAAATTAAAGTTTCCACTTCAGTACGAGGATGAGCTTAGTTTTCTGGCAGTTCAGAAATTGTTGCCACATTACCTACGTAAAATTATAGCTCCTTATATTTTTATTACTTGTATGGCGACAAAATATTAAAAGTGGGATGATATAAACAGTGGCTGTAACAAGCTTTCTTAAAATTATATAATAATGATTTAAAATCTTCCAAAAACACTATCTCATTGAATATCATCAATTCTATTGAAAATCGTTCAATTGTTTTTATTTATTTTGAAAATAAACAGACTCCGACGTTGCCCACTTCAGAAACCAGAATGAAGGCACTTAACTATTCTCTAGTTTCTCTACTATCTCTAGTACTCATAGTACAAAGTTTGATTAATTTGAAACTAGGTGGCGCTGTGTAATATATTCAATATTACATTTTACTATTTATAGGGTAATCTTAACAAACGACGAGCAGGTCGACACTTGATTCTAATATCAATCCAATCTATTGCCAATGACAATCTTATACTGCACTTATGAAACAACAGTTAGAAATTAGGTTATAATTAGGATCGGTTTACAATAGATTGCATTGGCAAGTTACACTTTTATGCGTCTATCAGAACAATATGGAACCATTACGTCGCTAGTAGTGCAATTCGAGAGTGCGAAACGTCTCAATTTAAATATCGATTTATTGGAATTTATTTCAGGAGTAACCCCACAGATGATTGGTTTGATCGGATTATCTATGTTTCAATAAAACTTAATCAAAATATAAACAAACGAATAATGACCCGACAATAACCCGACCACCGTCTGTTGATTTCCAATAGTGGTATAAATAATAAAAAAAAGAGTAATTGTTTGAATGTTTCGATTTGTTACAAATTTGAATTTAGAGAGTCGTTATTGGCCGTTAATTTTCCTTTACTGAATAAAGGCCTTCCTAATAATGTTTTACCAGTAGTTGCCACGCTTTGCAGGCGGATTGACAACAGCAGTTACGCCTTGATGATTTTTTTAAGTTCCTATAGTCGCCTCACGACGCCCTTGGGAAAGGAAGGGTTGGCCCATTCTATGCCCGAACCACAGAGTATTGTTTCTATAATATTGTCAAGAAAACTTGATAACCTTTTCATTAAGTTACATTGAAACAGACTAGCGCCTCACCTTCCATACTGCGCGGCGAGGTCCAGCGCGCTCTCGTCGTTGTTGTTCTTGATTGAGACATCAGCTCCCTTGGCTATGAGCTGTGCGACCACGTCCACGTACCCGAAATGTGCGGCTATTAATAACGCAGTCTCGTGGTCTGTAGTCTGGACAAATTTACAAATTTATTTATTTAAAAAACCTCCAATGAAGGATGCGTGTTTTATCTTATACATAATTGAAGCTAAGTAGGTTGCATATTAGTGTGCTCCTCCAATAACAGGAGACCACAGCAAGCAACGTATGTATAAACTACATAAAAACAAGATAAAAAATATTAAAAAAAAACTTAAAAACTATTGTATGATAATGAATAAAGTAAAAAAAAAAAAAAACAAGGAGCACGAAAATCAAGTTTAGGACTAATATTTATTAATAATATTTGATTATTGCACTTAGATGAACAATCTCTATAATATATTGTGGGGCGTTATGTATGCTATTTTAAGTTGCATAAAAAATATTTTTTTTGATAGGTGAAAATGGTATGGTAACCCTGCGCCGCGCTAACGGGATACGCTGGCGGAGCACCAGTGAAGGGTGATAGATGAGAATGAAAACAGGCCAGTTAGCCCATCATGATGAACTCATCAGGAATTAACCATGATAGTTTCCAGGGGAAACCGCGAAGAGGTCGACTTGGTTGGGTATATTGCTAGCAATGGGATTCTCAGTCTTCATTACTAACAATCCCTTCCCCCCGTCACAATGTATTGTGTGGCGTCATGTATGCTATTTTAAATTGCATAAAAAATATGAGGTTGTTCTTAGGCTGAAGTGAATAGGCAGAATACAGTTTAACAGTTGCAATGCGTGAAGAGTGTCACGATTAGCTGATAATAGAATTAAACAAATTAATTAAAATACTAAATAATAATAATACTTATATGGATTTCGCATTATAACACCTAATACAGCAGGGGGAAGGGATTGTTAGTAATGCGGACTACCACTCCCATTGCTAGCAATATACCCTATCAAGTCAATCTCCACGTGGTTCCCCCTGGAAACCATCGTGCTCAATTCCAGGTGTATTTATCACGATGGGCTAACTGACCTGCCTTTTCATCTCATCTATCATATCTGTCAGCGAAGGCGGGGTTACCATTCCATTATCAATTAAAAAAAAAAAACACCTAATTCAGCAAAATTTGTATCGTGGAGACTAAAGTGTATTCTTTATTTATAATTTCAAAGAGATTGAGTGCAGATAGACCTGACAAGGTTGGTTAATAATAGACTCTAGATCAGGTCGACCTCCACGCGGTTCTCCCTGGAAACTACCATAATAAATTCTTGTAGAATTCGTCACGATGAGCTAACAAACCTGCTTTCATCCTCACCTAATCATTTATAACTGGTACCCTATCAGCGTATACCGACAACGCGTATGGGTTTACTAATACATTTTAAAAATCCCCTACTTCCAAAAAAGGGTCTTAAGAAAAAAAATTACCAGTTGATCTACGTTGACTGGGGGATTGTTGTGGGCCAGCAACATAGCAACTACATCTGAGTCGCCTTTGAATGCCGCTAGATGGAGAGGAGTGGCTCCTTTCTTGTCCACCACGCATGGCGACGCGTCCGCTGATAGAAGCAAACGGACGATGACTCTGAAAACAACTTCAAGAATTAGAACGAGACATATTTACTATGCTAATAACATCAAAAGTCGATAAACTCATAGGTTTTTTTATACCACTTAGGTGGCAAACAAGCATACACCCAACTGAAGGTAAGCGTTTACTGTAGCCTTTGAACGCCTGCAATACCAGGGTCCATTCTGTGGGAGCAATCTGTAAATATACTTTTTCAGATATAAAAAGAATTTTCCAAATCTGAGGGGCTACCATGAAATGTTTTCCGAAATTTCGGAGCCGAACCAAACACAAATTTAATGTTAAAATTACATAATACTTACCGTTTAGAAACATTAAAAATATTAAAATATTATTCCTTTGAACTTTTATGGCAGGATTTATAACGAACCAAATGTTAAGCTCCATTTACTGGGTCGATTTAGGTATGAACGAAAACACGAAATTGAATCCAAAACTTCGGAATTTCATTTCATGGTAGGCCCCCAGTTTAGAACTGACGGAGTTATGAGGTAACAAACAAAAAAATACAACTGAATTGAGAACCTCTTACTTCTTGAAGTAGGTTGAAATAAAACTTTTTTTTTTTTATTAAATAATGGGCAAGAAACTGTTGCTTGTTTTCAACAAAAAATAATTTTACAATTATAAATGTGTGTCAATAGAGACTAGCAAACAACACAAGAGTTACTTAAAATAGAAGACAGTTCGTGTCCAAATTTCAAAGAGAATTATTTAAACACACATACAAATACTGATACGACAAATGATATATTATTTTAAATATTTGCAAAATATCCATCCATAACAGAACATTAATATTACATTAAAAGGCATGGGTATTTCCCCATTAGACAAGGATAATTAACTGCAACTAGCTAACATATGCCTGCGACTTTGTTCGCTTATAACTCTTCACCAAATTTAACGAAACAGTCGCTATCCGCGTATGTTTGTTTCTTCGTTTAATTCTTCTAAACCACGCAACGGATGTTAATACTGGTTTCACTATCATTTAAATATTTTTTTTCAATAGGTTTATACATATATATACAATGTATGCACCCGTGAAATGTCGAGACGGGTTGCTAGTTGATTTATAAGAAAACTAGCTTTTACCCATGACTTACTTTACTAACCGATATAAAAAGTAATCTATATTCATGCTATAAACACCAATAAATACCAAATTTTATAGTAACCCATAAAAATGGTATAAGGTAACAAACAAACTCACATTTATAATATTAGATTGGACGATTGACATTACACAATGACGCCTAGAGTTTTTCAATGAGCAATGATTTGCCTTTCGCCGATTTATTTGAAAATTATAATACATAGTAGTACAATGACAAGCAATAATATAGTCATAAAGGAGCAAGTGTCTTTCTGTATTTCTCTTTGTCTATGTTGTATTTAAAGAATTACGCGTAATTAAAATTATAATAATACGCGTAATATATATATATATATTAAATTACTTTACTGTCATATTACTTTGATACGTACAATTTCATCTTAAACTCACTTCGAAAGGTTTTTTTTTTTTTTTAAAATACGTTGTGATAATTTCAAATGTTAACCGATATTGTATTTGTAAATAAAAGTGTTTACGTCGAAGCATAGAGCTTTTATCAAAATTGGTTCATTAGTGGAGTTTTTAAATCAAGATAACTGATTTTGTCCCAATTTAAGTAGATTTTTTTGTGGAACACAATCTTAAATTATTAAGACAAATTTTCAGCCATAAATGTTCTATAAGCAAGCTACCATAATCATTACAAAATAAAATAAAAACATACTTACTTGTGACCATGTAAACATGCGTGGTGAAGTGGTGTGTAACCATTATCGTCCTTTACGTTTACACCAGGTCCTTTTCGTAAGCTGAAACAAAAAAAAATACAATAAAGAAATCCGCAGTCGGTAGGATTCGGACCTACGCTCCCAGAGGGAAACTGATTTCTAATCAGTCGCCTTAACCACTCGGCCACGACTGCCACGAGAGAGAGGCTTAAAATAACAATTTCTATCAAAGTGAACGTTTTCAAGATAATATTAAAAAATTGATGCGTTTTACAAAAAAGAATATATTATTCAGTTTTTATTCACAATTTAAATATAACAAAATATGAATTAATACTAGTAGAACTGTGGACTAGGACTGTGGGCAGTTCAAGGTTTGTCCATACAAATAAAGGTTAAGATGATTTCACATTATGACAATAAATCTATTGGATTTAAACATGCATTTCAATCGATTTCAATAATATGATGTTCAGTTAGCATAAATGAATATAAAAGACATTGAAGATATATGCATGTAAGATGATTTCACCCATATTATAAACATATAATTTGTTTTATTGTATAAATATGGTGCATTATTCATTAAAATATTTAACACATGCCACTGTGTTTATTTGTATTGTACAGGGCTTTTATGTATTTACAAAAAAAAATTGTTACGAATTACTTAGTTGTATTAGAACTAACGGGGTTGTATGTCTATTGCTATTTATTTTTTAATTATCTACAAAAGAAGCTAATTAGTTCAGTAAACCGCCATTTCTTATGGGCATCCCAAATAAATTGGCTATTTTAAGTCATAATTATACTGATATTACAAAGAGAAAAAATTGATTATTTGTTTGTAATGGATAAAATCAAAAAGTTCTCCACCGATTTTAAAAAATCCATATAGAAAACTATCAACGGCTAAGAGCGCCTATATATTTTAAAAATGCTATCTAACCGTGCAAAGCCGGGCTAGATCGGTAGTACCTAATAAAAAGACATCAGAAAAGTTCATGGAGTGATTTCTTTAGTGAAATTTTATAGCGGACGAAAACAATACCTATGGTGCTAGATATTTTCACCAATTGTGAACCAATTTATTAGTTTATTTTGTATTGAAAGCGTTTACCACCTTATTGGTCCCATAATTAAATTACTAGGGTTCCTAACCACATTACCAAAGCGATCATTTTAAATACCCAACGATAATTATATGTTAGTAGTAATATAAGATTAATAGCAAGGGTACATAGGGGCTATTACACTATCAAATATACAGTATCAATTCAAAAAAATTATACAGTTTAGCAAGAGAATAACAATATAGTTACTTTTCGTTTGAACTCTAATATTGACGCTTAAGTATACATAAGATTTGACTTATCATCAGTGAAACAGAAAAACAAAAAACTCGATTTTTGTATTTTCAAAATAACAGCGGTTTACTATAAGTTTTTTTTTTCTTATTAATTTATTATTTTAATTATAATTATTCTATCGTTGATCTTTATCAGAAATATTTTCCATAAATTGATTACAACAAACGAATGGGAACAAAATAGTAAAGGTGACTATTATAAAACTAAAAAAGTGAGCTATTTAATTTTTCACCTACGCAGACGATATAAAAATTACATTCAGATGTACTCGTATTAGCAATTTATTATTTTTTTAAATAAAATCCACATCTACCCTCTTAAGGAAAGGAGCAAACTAACCTCCGACAGTATCATAGTCGGGTATTATTTTATTTAAGTATTAATTCATTATTTAAACTCTTCAATCGGTAGAAAAATAAATAAAACATATCTTGTAACGAGGCGTGTTTCAACTCTATCTTCATTATTTTAGGATATACTCGTACACAATGATTTTACATATTTGATATTGCAATAAGTAATTTGAACGCAAGCATTGATGAAGGGCATGATAGGTAAGCAGGCAAAAGGTTCCGTTGCCTCATACCTCACATCAAAGGAGCTCGTCACAGAATTGGAGTTACTGAAATTACATTAAAAATATTAGTAGAAAAAGTAGAGATAAAACTACAGAGTACATCATTGCCATAGACGGAGAACTAAATTCAATTTTTATACTTTCCAAAAAACCGTTATTTTCTTTTCGTAATTAATTATTAAGATAATGTAAAAGCTTACGCTATATTTTTGGCAATATTTATAAAAACATAATACAATTATTAATCATGAGAAATTGAGTAAAAAATAATAAATCACGATTGTGTGGAAATTAGAAAAAAATCATTTTTTAGTTCTCCATCTACATAACATACATATTTATATTATTTATTTTTTTCACTACAATTAGTTCGTTACTTTTACACATAACTAAGAATCGCTATTAATAATTAATCAATGTTCGTGTGTTGTACATGCTCTAACTACTAAATTAGTACTTATTAACACCGCTTAAGAAATAAGGTGTCACTCGCATGCAATCCGTACTAAAACTAAGTAATATTATAAGATAGGAAGAAAAACAATATCTACTACCACTAACCTATTCAAATAACTTCCAAAAGAAAGAATTTGCTAAGCTAATATTGGAAGTACTTAAACTGACCATGAAGTACTTTCAATATTAGCTTAGCAAATTCCTTCTTTTGGAAGTTGTTTGAAAACAGAAAGTTAATACGTTAACAAAAATACCTCAACATCATCTACTACAGTCCAGCAATGGACTATATACCAAGTACCTTGGCCACGCCTCTAAATAATAATACATCATGTATTATTACTATTCAATACGTAAATAGCTCAAAGAAAGGGACTGTTAGTAATGAAGACTAGCGACTCAATTATTAGCAATATGCTGTCAGACCAACTTCCACGCAGATACCCCTGGAAACCACCGTGGTTTATTTCTGATCAAATCGTCTCGATGGATTAATTGAGCTGACCTCATCCTGTCCTGTCATCATTCACTGGTACCCCACTAGCGTATACCCATTGATAGTCTGTCTAAGGTCTCATCTATTTCTAATTATTAAAAATAACCTAAATGGCTGAACAAGGACAGTACCTTCATAAATAAACCCCATTATTGCGACCTTGACATGTAACAAACCGGTCGATGAACTTCACACCACAATGACCATGGGGACGCACGCAAAAAATTACAGTAACGTCAAGAGATAAGGTTTTAATTTGATCGCAATGACAAAATTACAAGAATTGTTTAACTCTAGCCCGCTGAGTCAACAATTCTGGAAGGAAATGTAATTTATAATAGAATTTCGCAGATAAAAATCCACCCAGACTAGAGATGGGCGAATGTTAATTATTCACTCGAATATTTGAAACTCGAATACTTCACGTTTTCATTAAGTAACATTACAACACAAAAATGAGGCGCAGATCGCCGTGTATGGCATCCGATTTCTTCGTTTAAGAATAAAAATTCTTTCGAATAAAGAATCCAAAGTTTTAAATTCTACATGCAATTATTCCAATCAAAATACAACTACTTACAGATCCTTCTACCTCCACATTGTATTAGTAGTAGACCTGTAGAATTATCTACTTTTTTTAATTTCCTAGACCAATGGGATAGCGCATCATTATATTTAAAATGCAACATTTAAATAATGCATCGTCGTTCTATCGGAAACCAATTATATTCATTCGATAAGTAGGTACCTAGAGAATCATTCGAAGTAATGCACATCTGTAATCCAGAATGCAGATACTCACTTGCGCACTTCCTAAAATAGATCAACTAAATATTAGTTTTTCGTAACGTTCATTCCGCAAGATAAAAGGTTAACATAAAAAGAACCAACTAAATATTTAATTTGACTACAAACGGCTTTGCAGCCATTTTATCTCAACAATTTTTTCGGAACATATAGCGTAATAAATCGATAGATTATCATTATGTGCGTAAAATCTAATAAACATATTGTTATAAATTAATCACACGAAGTAAATGAATTCACTATTTTTTTAATATTATATTAAAAGACATATCTATATCATTTCACATGGTTAAGAATACACAATGTCATGTTATTTAATCCAATAATACTAAAAAGTTAATTGTTCCTGTTTTAAATAAAATCAAATCTTAAAAAAAATACTGAAGCAAAAAAAACTTGTCATTCTTGTAAAAACCCTCTCAAAAATACTAAACCATTTCTATACATTATATCTTCGTGTATACCTAATACCTACACTTTACACACAAGTTGTAAAATTTCCATTAATTTTATTTCAGTTAAAAACAGGTAGATCAAATTAAAGATTTTGTTTTTGAAAAGAACCTGTTTCATCTCTATCATCGAAAGGTCACTATAAAACCTTATAGTACCGTGAATGTACAAAAATATAAATCTATATTTATCTATATCTATATGGCTATATAGTTGAGTAAATCTAAAATATCTGACAAAATTGTAAACACAAACTAGAATAACTCACGATCCAACGTTGACTAATACTGTTACATCAATCAAATAACAAAGTCTGATACCGCACTTTAAAGTTTAAAATCCTAAAGCAATTTAACAAAATACAAGTACATGGTCAAGGTAGAGGCATTCTAAGAATCGGAAGTTCTTGAATAAGATACGCCTTAGTCGGAGCGTTGTTTCTTGGAATAGAAGCCTTTGTAGACCAAGTTTCCAAATAGAGAAATATAAAGCAAATTTAAGTAGATATCTAATAATGATGAATTTGTAAGCCGTTAACAGTAATACTGGATATATCTGCGACTTCGTCAGCGTGATAAACAGTAGACTGTTTCCTTCTCCATGCCAAATATCTACTACGTGTAAATATGCTAAATTTCATGATGATTTGTTGAGGGCTTTAAGGATTAACCGTTAACCAAAACCAAAAACGAAACTCGTTTATAAATTAGTAAAGAAGTCAATAGTACAAGAGCTAATAGAATAAAGATTATATGAAAAATGTTAAAATTACACTTATATTTAATACTTAAGTATTAAGAAAATACTTTGATATTTAAATAATCTTAAAAGGTTGAAAATTAAGTGGACATTCCGACCTTTTTTAAATATATTTGACCTACAATATCTATTTTAGATGTCGGTCTTGTGCACTGTCTAGTGGTCAAACTAGGATATGTTGCACCAAGCAACGAAATATTGAAAGGTCAAGATCAAACTCAATTTACCAAAAATTTTCAATTGACCTAAATCAAATTCGAGCTATCTTTGTCAGCGATACGTTTATGCTTAATCACTGTCTAACAAAAATTATTATTGCAAACGATTATTTACATAATAATATCATATCTCTACCACTATACCACTTGTGACGTTGACTTTAATCTTTTACGTTCTACAATTCTATTCAATTCAAACACAATATTAACAATTTCAGATTGGAAATTTTGAAATAAACAATAAGGGTATTCCACACAAAGTTTTACAAGAAGTCACTCACCTGTCCTGATGGAACACGATATGTTTATATTTCTTAGTTTTAATCCAACTTCTTCGAAAGTTAAACTTTAAATTGAATGCAAGCAGATCAAAATCAATCGCATCACCACAACACTGCACTCTCCTTTCTTTTACTTTTTTATTATTCATATTTACAGCATAAATATAAAAAATAAAATGAAATTAATTTATCCAATGGAAATCACAACTCTCATACTAGAGTGATGCACCTCATATGAACTAAATTAAAAAAAAGCTTCAGAATGTCGAAAGCGGCATGGTCATGAGATGAGTCATGGGGAAACGAATGTTCACAGCACTGTGGGCAAACACCAATAAAACGACACCTTTAGCCACAACATACGTCAAACTAAAAAACGAGTGTATTAACAGAACAGGCCGACTATGTTAATTGTTAGATAATACAAAATATATGTGATAAGATAGGAGAAATTGATAAGATACGCCAATTAGCCCGAGGAAATGCACAACTTAATGTTTTATCCGTCATTTAAATAGAAGCTTAACTAATCAAACGTATTCAATGTCAAATTATACAAAATGGTAACTTCAATTGTAAATAAAAAAAAATGCTTAGTTCTGTGATCGAATGTCTTCATTAAAACAAAGCAATAAGGGTTTTCTTTCAGACAATAGAACCCTTGAGACCATATATATGACGGTCGGGCCATATTTCTTAATATCGTAACTTTTGCAGAAAAACAAAAGCTAAAATAGTATAGATCAGGGAAAAATACGATTATTCATTGCATAAGATTTTTCAATAAATTAACGACTGATTAGTTTGTAAACCATTCCTGTTTCTTACTTAAATAAGTAACTGTACAGTTACTACCTAACCAGATACAAATGTAGAGATAATTAATATCTGACAAATGCAGCGTCAAGTAGAGCAAATAAGTACGAGTAAGATGCAGTTAAAAGATCGAGGCAATCATTACTAGAAAGTATTACTCATAATACCTGAATACACTAACCCTTTACATCATTTAGGCCTACTTAAGATCAAAAATGTATACGCAAAATAGATGCAGTTTCTACGTGTATTTAAATGAATGTCTTTCATTATTTAAAATTTATCACGCAAATAATCATCACATATCACTAAATCACAATTTCTAGGAAATAAAATTTCGAGAGGAATAAAGACTTGCGTTTAGTCGTAACCATTTTAAAATATGAATATTAAAAAATATAATTAAGTAGTTCTTGAGCAGTCGTAACTGTAGTCAAAAACAAAACCTCATATTTAAAGAATATAGAAAGAGGCTTTCAAGTAAACACGCATTCTTATAAGTCTGTCTTATAAGACAGGAAATCAACAAAATGTAAGCTTAGACACACGTAATTGCGCCCTCATTTTTCTTTCAACAAAGAGATTTTGCGAAGTGGGTCCGTTGTTTTATCAACATCCATTATATTAGAGCCAGGTCAGCGACCACAAGACTGGACTTGCCTCTATTACTCATGATTGAGCGTAGGTTTCAATAGTAATATCATTTTTCCTCGTTGAAATAATATTAACCCAATTATTAATAGACGTGTTTCGAGTTTGCCAATGTAGGAATATTTATAGGAAAATGGTGCACATACAAATACATAATTCCACTTTTAGAAAAAGTTATTTAGAAACGAATATATTAATAATCCATGGTGATTAATAAAACATGATGACAAATTAAGAATAAGGATCTTCAAACATATAATCATCCGTTCATTACTCCTTTCCATCATTGGGATGTTTATTGATTGTAAGAGATGATCAGAAAAAGACCATAATACAGTTCAAGAAAAAAAAACTGAATTTGGTAGTAGGATAATATTATCTTCTGATGTATAAAGCCCGTACACAGCAGTGAGTTACGGATTGTTAATTTATTGTTATGATATACGTGCAGCATCTTCCTGCTTTTATCTTTTGTGAGGAAAACTCAAGTAAAACTATACCAAGCCGTTCATTGTGGAATAAATAGATTACCCGTGAGCTACGGGGCATTAATTAATTGTTTGTAATACTGTATATTCTTCTTCCTGGTCTTAACTCATTCAGAATCGCTATAATGTTTTTCTCTTCTTTTCATCTCCATTTGCAGTCGTTTCAATAATCACATATTTTTCCTGGCCATATTATTTTTCACACAATTCCGCCATCTCTTTTTAGATCTTTCTTTACTTTTTTATAACGAACACCTATACTTTCCTTAAAACATTCTCAATATCACTCCACGTCCATAGCAAGAGAAGCATTATTTTCTATCCCATTAATTACTCTAATGACTATTGTCTTTTCCTATTTATAGTATAGAAATCTTTCTTATCTACATAATAATGTATTGGCTTTCAGTTATTTTAATAATCGCAATACGCTCAATTTAAACGCTTGCTGTACCTGAATCGATAACATTATTTGAACAAAAACATTATATTGGAGTAATAGCGTGCAGGAATAGTCGACGTAATCAGTTGCGGTCATTTGGTCACAGTTTGTAAATACATATATGAAGTTACAGAACCATATCCAACTTCGTTATGCATGTTACAAAATAGTATCATATCGTTATTTCAGTGAATCATCGGGAATACAATATAGCAACTGGACTTTACAATGTACTAATAGAACTCTGCCTATATGTTGACTCTGGGTTTCCTCGTATTTTTCTTCGTTTGGATACTATCATAAATGCGACGTGTAGAATTTTATACAATAATAATAGTCGAAATTAAAAATAATTTAATTTCGATGTACATTCCATATTTTTTTTTATACAACATAGAATGGCAAACAAACTGACGGCCCACCTGATGGAAAGTGGTAACCGTCGCCGATAGACATGAGCAGTACCATGGACATAACAGAGTATACTGTTTCGCCCATGATACCCCAAAAGCGTTGCCATTCCTGAGGACTCAGGTGTTATTTTGCTGTAACCAGTAAATTCACACCATATCCCACCCTTCAAACCGTAACACAGCCATGCAAACAACTGCTTCACGGTTGAAACACGAATGGGACAGAGGTACCCAAGCAATCGACTTTTGATGCATTAATGAGGTGAGGTTCCTAATTTTCTTGACTTTACAGTGTTACTACTTTGGTATTATAATATTTTGGCAATGATAAAAATAAATTTACATACTCCAACTACAACGAGTTATGGTGTCTAAAAATAATGGTTTCATTTTACATAAAACATCATGTTCCAATCAATCGACAATAAATATTAACATATCAACGATATTCAATATTAATTCAATGTGAAAAAAGCACAAATCTTTATCTACAACTAAATATACCAACCTAAACCTCCTTTTCAAATTCCTAAGCATTCTATTGCAGTCTTCGCGCACATGACTTCGAATCTTCATTTTCACATCACTACAATAGTATCAGTTCATTGCGAATACCTAGACGACACGAAACTATGTTAAAAAGCCATTAGAGCTTATCAATACGTTCGTTCACTAGTCAAATATTGATTCAAAAGTGTTTACAAGCGATCCGGGTGTCGGAAACTCTACAACTGACACAGAACGACTGTTGGAACCGCCGGATGAATCATAGCAACAGGTTCACTTAGAACTTTTTTATTGCGGTATTTTTTTGCAGTTAACTGTACACTAGTTCAGCACCACTGACCAAATTAGTTCGCGAACTCATTACTCAACAAGCTCACTGACAAAAATGTAGATTCATTTCACATAAAGTACACCATGATGTTATTGAACGCAATTGTTTTATTTCAATAATCATAACCCACTTTTTAAACGATTGATAAAGGAGCTCTTTTTGGTAAATTCATTACACAAATGTGAAGATAACTATGTAACTTTACGTAACAATATATCTTTGAATTTTAATAAAAAAGTTTTTTTTACAACACAGGGCAAACGAGCTTGCGGTTCACCTGATTGGTAAGTGACTATCGCCGCCCATGATCACCCACAACATCAACGGCATTGCAGGTGTGCTGCCGGCCTTTTAAAAGGGAATAAATATATAAAATAAAATATATAAAAAATAAATATATAAAAATTTAAAAGTATTCTTTTTTTTTATTTAAGAGTTTCCTCTTGTCGGTGCAACTAATTCATGCATCTTCTTCCAGCCAAAGTATTCATACATGAACCAAAACCATTCGAAATATATCACTCTAAAGATTACTTGTATGATTTAATTATGGCATATTTATGTCTTCAATAAACTGGAAGACGTTACAGTGAGTCCCCAAGGAATCAAGGAAGGAATGAGGGAAGGAGTTATGTACGAGTAACTCCATTGGAGTTTGAAAGTACCTATGGAAACGAAGTAAGAATATAAGAAAGATATAGGTACCTGGCATTGTGTTCTCTCCCCATACTACTACTACACTGTCAATAGATAGATAATCACCTATACTAAATACTTGACTAGTCAACAAATTAAAAATAGGAGCATACTGAGAATCGCAAACAATTATATAGTCATTTACTCATTATGCTAACCAGTTCACGAGATCAATTGCATGTGACGAAATTGTCAAACCGGTACAGTACGTAACACGTAGCTTTTAAACGTATTCTTATAGGTTTCTAACTTCTACCAACTACCACCGGTTAGTGATTCACTTAGGTCCATGCTATGCTAAGAAGCAATAGTAACACTTGGGATCTTGTTTCTGTTTGAAAGGCAAAAGTTACTAACGTAATCATTAAATATTAAGAGATCTTTAGTCTTACGAGATAACAAAGAAAGAATTTTTTATGCAACTTAGAATGACAAACACGTTAGCTTGTTTGCCCACCTGATGGAAAGTGGTAACCGTTGCCTATAGACATGAGCAGTAGCATGAGCATAACAGAGTATACAGTTTAGCCCGTGATACCCTACATACATGGCCATTCCTGAGGACTCAGATGTTATTCATCTGTACCCAGTAAAACAATTGTTATAGACGTCTCAATTTGAAGCAAGAAGTCGATGAAGAGAAGATGTAGACCACATCCAAATGAACACCCATTTTCCATTAAAACCTTTATTATCATAGTTTCAGTAGAATAAAAATATTTTATTAAACATATTGTACATCTAATTATAGATACACTATAATTTACGAAAATATTTCAGATGTTTTAACAAATTCTTAAAAACAATAATTAACATACATTTAGCTTGGCAAAAGAAAAACAAACAGGTTATCTTTTCGTGACCGTTGTGGAATCGTTAAAGAATAAAAGTTATCCCTCTGACGATCTTATGTACTTATATTTGTTACAATTCAAGTGGCTTTTTTTACAAAGCAAAATCTTAAATTATTGCAATTTGGCCACAGAACTCTAGTAGAAAAACAAATGACGCGTACCT